GGGGGGGGTCGGGGGGAGGGGCGCCGAACGATCCTATAAACCACATTATTCATATCAGAATAGTAGTTAAAAATTAGTGTTGACAATAGATTTGACAATTTTACGAGAGAAAGCTCAATTGGTAGACTAAATAGAATGCGATCCAATGAGTATATGTACTTGGTGAAACACTGATATCATTACATTGTTTGTTGAGACTTGTTGAGAGACAACACCACAAACATGACAAGTCAAATTATCAAAGAAAGCCTTGAGTGGTTTTATATGAAAATGTTTTTTATGGACTACAACAATATTTCTGAAATTGATGGCGAAGACTCGATATATGAATTTTTCCATCTTTAGAAAACAAAAAGTATTCGTATTCAAACATTTACGACCAGATTGAAACCTAAGTGGAGTTGTGAACATGTGTCCCACAAAGTTTGGCTAATGCGGGATTTTTCAAACTAAATGAAACCAGTGTTATGTGTGCCTTGCCGAAGTATAATCAGTAATTGGCAGCCGGGGAACCGCCCGTTACACGAACATGCACTACATTTTGTTCTGTGCCTATTCATAATGAAAATAAATGTCGGGAATATGCCGATAGGAGCCGACCCCATTTTTTACACGCCCAGCGAAACCGTGTTGCGGTGGGTGTACAAATGACAATACTTATCAAACATATGAGGAGCGATTGGCGTCATTTGAATCACACGAAAATTTATTCTACATTTATTCCACTCTACACTCAATTTGAATAGTATCTAAGCACTGTGGAAGCTACGAGCAAAATAATGTAAGGTTTTACACTCGTAAAAATAAAAGTATATCAAAATTAGTTACTAAATCACATTTATTTTGTATGTTTTAAAAAAGTATAATTGACTTTAGGTCATTTTAAAAAGTGACTAAACAATATAAAAAAATTTATGAATAATGCACTATTAATACTGGGATTTCCAATTACTCAATACAAACACTTGCTTAACTACATGACAATATGACGGTAGTATCCTAGACTGTATGCCGAGGCCGGACTATATTATATTGGTCCTAGATGTCGGTTAAAGTGTTTTAATTTTTTTGGCGGACAATACGTGCCTGGCTGTAACAACGATAATGATCCGTGGATACTACATGCAGGAACTTTCCCGACGTATCAGTTTATGAATAAGGGACAAGAGTGTATCAACGAATCAGTCGAACTTGTTGGCAAATTAAATTTGAAACGCCGCTCAATTGCCATGTGGATCCGTGCCAGTTTTGTGCTCCAATTTACTAATTTGAAAATGCAATCAAAAATTCGTGTGTTCGAAGTGATGAATGAACGATAAAAACAACACCGACAGCCGTTCACATCATTCTCGTAATTATACGACGTGTGTGTAGCAAAATATGGTCAACAAGCGCCGGTCGCTAATGCTATAGATACTCGCGCAAAAAAATAAACAACGGCGATACAGCGACTAACAACAATTTTTATTATGTAAAGTATGTTTAAAAATAAGTTGGGGTGGTGCTTTTACTTTGATGTCACAGCGCTACATGCAAACAATGTACATAAAAGCTCAACACATGCCCAATATGTTTTCACACAGTTCAAACAACTCTGGAAATATTTTTAACCATTATTTTGATATGAATAATGTGGTTTTGAGAATCTTTCGGCCCCCCTCTCCCTCTCCCCTCCGGCCCCCCACCCTATGGGATTAAACATGGGTTTACAGCTTAAGTCTACGGCTATAATTTAACATAGGAAAGCTCTCATAGGATTAACATGGGGAGGCGTTAACATGAGTTTCTATGGGATTACAGCTTAAGTCTATGGCATAAGAATAACATTGATAATGTTAAGTCTATGGCAATGATAAGTCTATGGGTAATGCTAAGTCTTTGGGCAATGATAAGTTTATAGGTAATGCTAAGTCTTTGGCATAGTGATAACATGGATGATGCTAAATCTATGGCATACATATAACATGAATAATGCTAAGTCTATGACAATGATACGTCTATGGGTAATGGTAAGTCTATAGCAATGATAAGTCTATGGGTGATGCTAAATCTATGTCATATGGATAACATGGTAATGGTATATCAATGGGACAATGGGATTATAATAGAACTTTACATAATAAATAGAACTTAATGTTGTCAAAAACATTTAAAATTCTCAAAATAATAATAGTGAAAATATTCCAACAATAGTATTGATAAATTTAAAATCTTTGATACATTTCCCGAATTGTGGTTAACGTATAGCAGTATATTCTGTATTATATTCTGTACTATATTCTGTATGTGGTCAACGTATAGCATCGCTGTGTGATCCTTGTTTTTAATTATATATAAAGACTCGCTGATCGATGACACTGTGCATTGTGTGTTAAAATGTGCACACAGTGCTGATAATATCTAATGGCTGCACTTGAATACAATGATTTTGTGCACGACGACTTTGTGTCTCGCGAGTGTATAAACTCATATTTCAAAATTATTGAACATACAGTAAGTGATTATCTCAATTTGCATTTGTAAACTATAACCATACAATTTATACCACGCGATCCGCAATCAATTCACTCAACGAATGAAGAAGGCTTTTACTCTATACTTGAATTGATTGTGGGAAAACTTATTAATAAATATAATCGGACTGATACAATCACAATCTCTTTTTATTACAACTGTATACGCGGTTTCAGCAATATTATACCATTGAAAAGTGTTCAGGATTACACGTCAGCAGACATACAAAAAGCCATTGTGTACAAAAACATTACGTTCAACAGATTACACAACGGCTTTACTTACTACGAGTTTGACAGATCAATTATGACTATTGTCATGTACGCATTCGACGACAGTCTCTGATCATGGCTGATCAGAGAGTCGCCGTGGCGCTACAGTCGCCTCAATGCCGGCTAGCTTTGGCACTGGATTTGGCTACCACAGAGGAATTATGATTGCTATTGCATGCGCGCGGTGGCAATGCCTTCGTCAACTTTGGCAATCTTTAACACGCGCTGCTCGATTGGTCGGCTACAGCTCATCCAGCGCTAACGTGCAAAATTTGCTTCGTCCAAAAGATTGGAGCCGTGTTCTTCCCATGTGGGCATCACGTTACGTGCGTACGATGCACCGCAATCATCTTCACAATCTTTGTCCAATATGCCGACATAATATAATATTTATTTTACGTAAATATATTTAATTATTATTGTACTGTAATCAATAATCAATAAAAGGTTTACACAATTAATTGATGTTAATTATTTGCTGTGGTATTGATTTATGTTTGGTTTCATTTTCGGTCGTCGAGGGCGGGTGTGAAATGAATATGAGCAAATTTATTCCCTACCTTTGCCCCTCTAATTTAGCTGTTCAAAAATGCAACTTCGTCCAGTAAGTGTGCTCTTTGTTCTATTCTAACAACCTTTGCCCCTCCCATTTAGTTGTTCAAATATGCAACTGCGTCTAGTATATGTGCTGCATCCTCTATTCTAACTACCTTTGCTGCTCCCATTTAGCTGTAATAAAATGCAACTGCGTCTAGTATATGTGCTCCATCTTTTATTCTAACTACCTTTGCTGCTCCCATTTAGCTGTAATAAAATGCAACTGCGTCTAGTATATGTGCTCCATCTTTTATTCTAACTACCTTTGCTGCTCCCATTTAGCTGTAATAAAATGCAACTGCGTCTAGTTTATGTGCTCCATCCTCTATTCTAACTACTTATGGCCACCAGTGTTATGGCATTAATCTATAAATAAAAAGGTACAGTCAGTGTGTGAAAGCGCGAAAAAATACTAAAAAAAGTAAACCATTTATTTAAGTAGGCGTATCTTAGCTAAACCACTTTTATTTATTACAATATGCTGTATTATTTGTTATGTTAAATATAAACCGAGTTTTAGACAAATCGGGCATAAAATGGGCTTTCTAAAATAAAAATGATATATTTTTGAGTCTTTATCGCCCTCGAGACGAATGGGATGTTATTCCCGACTATACAAGAAATTAAATTTAAGAAATCTGGAATTTCCGAAAAATAGAGGCTTTAGTTATTAAGGTACTAATAACTATTTTAATTTATTAATAATAACGTTTAAAAATTAATTCAACAATTTCATTATTATGTTTACAGAATATTGTTAATTATGCTTTAAAAATATTCTATAGTCAAGTTTTAGGATTGATTTTCTAATGGGAATCCAGTTTTGTGCATAATTGATCGTGGAACTCTAGTTAGTATTAATTGGGTCTGTAATATTATAATATAATAATAAAACGTATTTATATTTATATAAGATTTGCTTCTTTAGCCATTGAATAGAAGATAGAGTTAGTGTTTTGCAAGAGATAATGGGGTGAATCAAACTCGGCTACCATTCCCTTATCGATTACCAACACTTTGTCGTAATCTATGATTGTATTCAATCGATGAGCGATCGTAACAATAGTTGACAAACAAAACTCTTTTCTAATCGTCTCTTGGATTAAGTCATCCGTTGCCATATCAACCGCTGAAACAAATTATTATATATATTTGTTAAAATTAAATTAAAGCCAAACAATGCATACCAGCGGTCGCTTCGTCCAACACCAAAATCTTAGTTCTTCTCAACAGAGCTCTGGCCAAACAAATCAACTGTTTTTGTCCAACACTTAGATTTTCTCCGCTTTCAGAGATCTCATGACTCAATCCCTTCTCCAAAGTGTTCACAAATTGCTTGAGATGTGCCGACTCTAAGGCCCTCCAGATATCAGTGTCTGAGTATCGGTTGAATGGATCCAAATTGAGGCGCAATGTTCCGGTGAAGAGCGCCGGGTCTTGAGGTATAATTGTTATGCGAGATCTCAAGTCATGTAAACCCAGTTTTGTGACGTCCACTGAGTCTATACGTATAGATCCATTGACCGGTTCTATGAGTCGGAAGAGCGCCAGAGTTAGCGATGACTTTCCGGCACCCGTTCTGCCGACTATTCCCACCTTCTCTTTGGGTTTCACTTCTAATGTAATCGATTTGAGCACTAAATCCAATCCTTTTCTATATCTAGTGCTGTATTCACTGAACTTTATTTCTCCCCTTTCCGGCCAATCGAGCGATGGTTTTGTCTCCTCATTATACCAGTCGGCCTATCAATCAGTTTAAAAATTATATATAATTATTTATTTAAATACTTGTATACAATAAGTAAATATTTTGAGTATTAAATACTTCTGTTGGAGTTTCCGTGTATTCAAGACATCTCTCAACCGAAACGATATTAGTTTCGACATTTGATGTGTAATTTACTAAAAATGTTAGACATCGCGTTATATCAAGTGAATAACCAATAGCCAGACCCGCAATACCCGGACTTAATTCGAAACGATAATACACAACAAATATTGACATTAAAAATACAATACAATTGCCTAATAATTCCAGTCTGATTGCGAGCCATTGGGAAGCTGTAAAGCTTGGATAATAACACATATGGTTTTTATCGACACGTCTATTGCATTCCTGTATGAACTGATGGGATACTCCATACGCTCTAATACTTGTGGAACCGCTAACTGTTTCACTGAAATGACTATAAATAGGGGAACGAGTGGTCGACTCAATGCGTTTGAGTTGACGAGAAGTGCGAATATATAGCTTTTGAATGAAATAATACAAAAAAAACAAGGGAAGGATTGCAGTCAATACTAATGGTGTTTGAAATGTAATGAGAAACATGGCGACAATTGATCTCAAAATGGTTGCAATTGTTTGCTTAAAACTGAGTACAAGAGAAACATCGACTGAATCCATGTCACGACTGAATCGATTCTGAATTCGTCCGATTGGTGTCGTGTCTGGAAAATGTTTTTATCAATACTTTTTATAAACATTTAAAAAATTTGACACTATTACCGTAGAAACTGATTGGCGCTCTTATAATCTTATCCAACATAATGTTATGCAATTGTTTCGCGGCTCCAATACATCCAAAACTGATAAATGTGTGTAAAATGAAAGTGACAACAGTGTCAAAGACACCGATTCCGGCGTAAACTCCGAGTCTTATGTAACGGACATTTGTATCATTTATTTGATTGGAATCGAGGCAGTCGTCGGACCACTCGCTCAGCCAAAGACCCGATAATATTTGAGCCATTGTTGAGGCGAGTGATGAGCCAATAATAACGGCGCAAAACCACAAACCAATTAAAGTAATATATTTTTTGTATATTTTGAGTCCAACAGAACTCGTCTCTAAACTCTCGATTTCGGTTAACTTTCCACTCGTTTTAACCAATAATTGGTTTTTAATAATATTTTCTTCTTGTAATCGTTTTTCTCTTAAATTATTTAACATTTGTTTAATTAGATTTTTCCATTCATTTCCAACGCCCGACGCATTGAATCTTCCATTTGTTTGATTAATTACTTTTTTAATTAAATTTCTTAATTTATTAACAATTTTTTTGTCTTCATTTTTGAGTTCATTGTCCGACTGTTGGGACAGATATTCGGTCACAAATTCAGCAAAATAACCATTTTTTGAGACCAACTCTTCAAAAGTTCCCGATTCAGAGACGTATCCATTCTTTATGACCACAATTTGGTCCACATTTGGCAAAATAGAGACACTATTTGTAACTAAAATTCTTATTTTGTCTTTTAATAAACCGTTTTTTCCAATAGTTTTCTCAAACAAATGTTTGCCCACATGTGTGTCCACAGCGCTATAAAAATTAAATTATTAATATATTAAAACAAAGTTAACATAGCAATACTATATGTTAAATATTATTTGGAAAGGTAATATGATTAATAATAAGTAGGCCATAGTTAGCTTACTTTCAATATTGTTGTTGTGAGTATATTAATATTCTTAACAGCAATTAGTCCATTTAATGTTATTTTAATTACTATTTTATTCAAATTGTTAAATTTGTTTATTATATATTTATACAACAGCATAATCTTAATAGACTTAGCATTTAGCGTGACCAACCGTCCTATATTGCAAAGGAAAGTCCTATATGTGAACTGTTAAATTACTGTCTTATGAAGGGACTGAATAGGACTATTGAATGTCCTATTTTTATTTTAAATAAAAGTTGAACAATTTAACTCTATTTTGATTGAATTTTTAGTGAAATTTTCAATTTATTTCACAAACAATCAAATTATCAAACAAAATACAAAATAAAGGACAATTAATCAAATACATAAACTTCATTTTATAAATAAAGTAATCAATAAATCTCGTTGCCCTAAGCTGTTTTATCAATTACTCTTTTTAGAAGATAATCAAATGCTATAAAAAGTAGAAAGCAGACATTTGCTCGAAAATTTTTAATTTAATTTGCTTTAAATACATTAAATTAGTAAATATTACAAATAATAATATTAAATATAAGTATATTAGTTAGTTTAGGTTAGTTTGATTAAGTTAGGTAAGGTTTAACAAGTTAATTTTACAATTTAAGTTAATATTTTTAAGCAAATGTCTTTCGAGCAAATGTCATAGACCCATATAAAGTATGTAAAAATTTCACAAATGCTCAGGCTTTTAAATATTTTGTACATATATTTTGTAAATCATTATATACAAGTCAAATTATACTACAAATAGAGATTGTCCCAATACAAAATTTATAAAACATTAACTAATGTTTGTTATAAAAAAGAATTATCACAATCTAAACAATTTTTTGAGTTGTTATAATTGAAATGTCATATTATTGAGAAAAACCTGTTGCAATTTTGAAGTAGTTTAAAAACAAAGATTACACAGCGATGATATACGTTAATTACTATTCGGGTTATTCTCAATAAATATATAGTCTTTACATTGCGTTTAATAATTGTATTTTGAAAATTTAATTTTTAAAGCATTGTTAGATGAATATGATTTTTCAAAATTTTTCATTCTCATTTTAATTTATTGTTTGTATTTTAAACATATACTATTAAGCACTAGTTCCATAGATTTATCATTGTTTCTAAGATCAGAATTAACTTCATAGACTTAACATTACCCGTAGGATTAGCATTGTCAAAGGGGAGGCCGAACGATCCTATAAACCACATTATTTATATTAGAATAGTGGTTAAAAATATTGTTATCTAAATTAATAAAACTTAGAATAATTGACAAATCAACATCTTTTTTATTTGTAAAATCAACCACAAAATATAAATTTAAATAAATAACAGCGTATTAATATGTCTGTAAATTTATGTCAATTAAATAATAAATAAAAACATGTGTCCTATATTTGTCCTTTATATTTTTGTCAAATATGGGGGAATATCTTATTTCCAAAAATTATGAGTTGGTCACGCTATTAGCATTAAACATGTTAAATTTATGTCATAGACTTATGCTGTAATCCTATAATAACCGGAAAACACTTTTCCCCCGTCCCGTCGATCCCCGTCCCCGTCGATAAATTTTACATGTATATTTTATATATGTAACCAATGTAGAATTCATAGCTGAGTTTGAATCTGGAATCCAAAATATATTATTTCGAATATTTTTTGAGTTATTCGACTTAAAATATTTTTTGTCGAAAATTTTAAAGTTATGTAATTTATAAATATGACATGATTTTGATATAGAATCTGACGCTGATTTCGAATCTTAAATTTTCAATTTTCTACATTAAATATTTTTAAAGTTATTCAAATTTTAACATTTTAAAGTCGAATAGTTCAAAAATTATACATTTAATTTTAAAACCGATTTGATAATATTAATTAGGGTTAAAATTTACATCGAAATCATATATCATATCAATAAATTATATTACTTAAAAATTTTCGATAAAAAATATCATAAGTCGAATAACTCGAAAAATATTTAAAATAATATATTTTGGATTTTAGATTCGAACTCAGCGATGAATTCTACATTGATTACATATATAAAACATCAAGTAAAATTTATCGACGGGGACTGACGGGGACGGGGGAAAAAGTGCTCACCATAAAAACCCACGATAAAACATTATTATGTTATCCTAGGTGAGTTTCCCGATGTTAAAGTATAGCCATAATTTTAAACTGAAATCTTATATTAAATCTCATAGGGTGGGGCCCGATGGAAGCCGGATGAAAGCCGATCAATCCTATAACCCCCGTTCATAACTGAATTGTTGCTACAAAGCATTAAATAAACATTATTATATTTTTTAAAAATTGTACATTATTTGCAAAACTGTACAAAACATCATGCCATAAAAATAGTATAATTATATAGCAATAAATACTTGAACGGGTCGTCGAGTAAATAGATATCTCGGTTGGAATAGACAGCCCTCGCCATTGAAACCCTCTGTTTCTGACCGCCGGACAGATTGATACCTTTTTCCCCGATTTCTGTCAGATCTCTGTTCGGAAGTTGAGCCAAGTCTGGCACTAAAGCACACGATTCGAGCACTCGTTCATAGTATTCATCATTCAATTCATTAGTGAATACTATATTCTCTTTGAGTGTCTTATTCTGAATCCACGCCTCTTGTGGTACATAAGCGACACTTCCCTCAACACAAGCGCTTCCCTCCAGAGTAACCAATTCACCCAAAAGTGCCGATAAAAGCGATGACTTTCCGGCGCCCACTAAACCCACGACTGCCACTAATTTATGTTCAAACACTTCCAATGATATATTCTTTAGAACCGGAGGAATGTGTTTATCCCATGAAAATGTGGCATTTTTTATTGATATTAAAATTGTTTTGTGTTTATCTTTACAAATGATGTTATCATTAATTTCATTCGCGTTAATGAATTTATTAATTCTGTTAAGCGATACCAAACACTAAAATTTATTAATAGTAATTTATCACAAAAATAATGTAATTCATTAAAAATTTAATACCATTGCACCCTTTGTTAATAATACAGGACAAAATCCAATGGGAAATTCTAGAAACATGAATTGTCACATTAACAATTTAAATATTGGTTAAATAATATTGGATTAAATAATAAATAAGTTCCTTAACTAAGAAGCCGTGTGGATAAAATTTTGAAATTAGTTTAATAATTTAAGTTGACATATCTAGGAACCAGAATCCAAGTTTCAAAATTGGATAAATAGTTTAAGAACAAAATTTTTAAAAGTTTGTCAGTCGGAATTATATTTAAAAATGTACAACAAAATATTTGACTAAAAATTATCACATTTTTATAGGTAAATATTTTTGCTAAAGATGTGTTTAAAGTGATTATTTTGTAATTAGGACTCACACATTATCTGACAATAGCTTAGTGCAGATATCATGAAATAAATTATAACAGAAATCAATTGCAAACCCACCGAACACAAGCGGCCAATCGGGTTATTAACCGACTTTTTAACCACGATTCATATATGAAGAATGTGGTTTATAGGATCGTTATGCCCCCCCTTCCCCCCGCTCTATGGGATTTAACATGGGATTACAGCTT